ATACGTTGGGATAATGTTGTATTAAAGAAGTGACCAGAATATAGACTTTAAAAAAATCTGTTTTCAAGCCCTAAAAACAAGCAGTACCTGTGATAGAAATTCAGTATATTCATAGAACATTGAGATTTGTACGCACCCGACTGGCCTGTAGGTTTTAAGAATCAGTTCTTTTTACTTGCATGTAATGTGTTTAAGTCTGTACTTTTTAAGTGTACTTTTTAATCTATCATGTGTATTGAAACACGCAATTCAGCCTACGGCTGCTACTAGTATGTGTCATCATCATCATCAATCATCCTCCGAAGAGGTGGAGCATACAAAGTTCAATCTCCAGAACTGTTTGTCATTCATCACAGAGATAAGTTCCAGGCCCTCCAAGCCTGTTTCAGTTTCTATAAGTTTCTTAAGTGTTATGTTTGGACGTCCAACTCTTCTCTTTGTATCAGGATTCCAGAGTAGAAGCCTACTGGGCTGGTTCTTCACTACTAGTATGTGTTTTGATGAATAAACCTTTTGTCATTAGGTGCGTCGACAGGCCAGGCAGAACCTCCAGGATGCCAAAGACAAGGCGGAGCGGGCTGTGAAAACGGAAGAGACCTCCCTCCAACAGCAGGCAGACTCGCTCTCCAAACTACAGGTCGGGTGGCGTAGTGGTAGAGCGTTCGACTATGAAACAGGGAGACCTGGGTTCGATCCCAAGTTGTACAGGTTGGGTGGAGTAGTGGTAGAGCGTTCGACTATGAAACAGGGAGACCTGGGTTCGATCCCAAGTTGTACCTGGGACATGTCTGGACATGCGCCCGATGTTGTGCCCTTGGGAAAGGCACTTTACACGACTTTCCTCACTCCACCCAGGTTGGGGAAAGTCGTATTGAGGTCACCTGGTGGCGCCGAATGGCAGCCGCACAGACCCTTGCGACAGTTCCACAAAAATTTGTGGAGCAAATATGTGTGTATCGTGTGACTGACATATATAATTTGTTTGTCATTATTTATTGATAATTATGTGATACCCTGCGTCAATTCAGCCGTATAAAGGCTGCGACTGCTCAGGTACGGTTTGACTAATAAAAACCATTTATTACAGGACGTCAGGAAGGAGATACAGAAGCTGCGGTTCCACGTCGATCTGGAGAAGGAGAGAAGACGCGTCGGCGCCATGACGCTTCACAACGAGACGTGGAAAAAGGACAAGGACTTGTTCCGTCACGCACAGACCCAGACGGAAGAACAGGCGACGACACCCAGAGCTAAGAACTACCACACAACGTTTGCGACGTACAACGTTCCAGTTACAGCGTTAAAGAGACCGAGTAGTTGGCCTGCGGAGTACGGTTGTCGCTCCCTGCCCATCACTAGTGGCAGACACACGTCGGTGGAACTGTGGCGTATTGGTGAGCCAGCGGAGAACGAAAGTGGATCGTCCCGTAGTGCAACTCCTAGCAGAGACTTACCCCAGAAGTTTAGGCTGTGGTCTGGACCGCGGCGTAATACGAAAGGCAACAAATACTTGATAAAGTGATTTTAAAGGGCTGGGTGGATCCAGTAGTGCAAATCCTAGCATAAAAGCCAAGGATATAAATGTACACACTGGATATTACTTTGCGCCCAGTGTGCTATGGATCTGGCATCCAGGCTACTCCTAGCAGAGACTTACCCCAGAAGTTTAGGTTGTGGTCTGGACCACGACCACGGCGTAATACAAAAGGCAGCAAGTACTTGATAAAGTGACTGTTTTTTTAAAGGGCTGCCAATTTGATATGGTGTCATTTTTAGGAAGTGTTCACTGAAGACTTCTAAATTTATATGCTTAACACGTTAACGTTATACAAAAAGCAACAAGTGATATTGTTTTTTTGAAGGGGCTGCCATTTTGATAGGGTGTCATTTTTAGAACGCTTCACTGACAAGTTCTATATGAGATGTTATGACACGTTTATACTGCTGTCATCTCATTTGGAATACTTAGGTCTACATAGAATTTATATGCTTAACACATTTACTGTTGTTGTGTTGGGTTAGCTTTAAGGTTTGGTATAGATAATGCACATATTTGGTATAGACTTAGCCTGACCCTTTTCGCCGGCTTTCCGATAGTCCGCCCTTTGGGATGGCAACTCTTTGAGCCCCAAAAAAGAGCTTGTGTACACAGGCTAGTATAGACTACGCTCACATATTCTGCAGTAGGCATAGTCATTAATAGCTCAGAAGAAAATAAACAGTTTGGCACTAGCAGCCCATCCAGTCGTCAGCGATGGACCTCGGGTAGCCTCTCTTCACCCTGCGATGGTGGCTGCTGTACTTCCAGTAGTTCCTTCCACGGAAGAAATAAACTTCACCTGAAACAAACAATGCCATCGTGTTTACTTCACCCTATGCAACATTTGGTAGAAAGACAATACATAGTACAACTGATTGGATAATGCAGTAGTTTTCTGACATTATATGCAAAATGCAATAAAGATTCATTTAGTCATTTATTATATGAATCAAACTTGTTTGTATGCGTGCCTGCGTAGCTTAATTGTGTTCTGCCGAAGGGCAGTTTGGGGAGAGCCACACCCCAGAGTGAGGAGGAAGTGAGTTCCAGAGGACTGCACCGGAAAAAGAAAGCAATCTCTTGGTTATGCAAAAATTAACAAAGAAATCATATTAACTGCAAAGTGATGAAAAGGTGGTCTTGAAGACACGGAGAGTTTTTACATTTCTGACGTGAGGAGGAAGTGAGTTCCAGAGGACTGCACCGGAAAAAGAAAACGATCTCTTGATTATGCAAAACGAACAACACGTTTACCCACCATCCTCTCCCAGGTCTGAAGCATGGTCTTAACATGTGAGAATTATGTATCTTTTCACTGTAGTCTGTATATGTCGACTGTCCAGAGTGTATGTGTTATATGTGATCCAGGGCCCCACTACTGTAAAGAAGAATGAAATAGATAAATGAATGAAGTTTACTGACCATCCTCTCCCAGGTCTGAGGCACAGTCGGGACTTGACGGCACACCGTGCCACATGCTGACGGGACGGGGGTAGCCGGGATCCAGGGTCCTCGTCTCCTCATTATACCTCCAGTACAGGTCTCCCTGAGAACACAACAATATAACATATAGTAATACAGAACTGCTTTACCCTGGAAATCCAGACTCGCTGTCCGGGCCGCAAAAGCCCTTCGCCCGCTGGTGTAAATTACCGCTACGGGGGAGTCTAGCCCGGGGGGAGGTTGGCTCGCCGGACCAACGAGTCTGGTGGCTTGTCTCTGGGCTGTCAAAGCCCCGCTCACATAGTGAGCGGAGCGGAGTTGAGACCGCATTGGCCGCGGCTAATCACCCGCACAGCGGCGCGCCGCGCTTGATTGGACACACGCCTGTTGGCGCGCGGCATCCAAAATGGCAACCGGTGTAAACATTTATATCCGAGACGCCACGTCTTCTGCTGTTTGGGGACTGCCTAAAGTCGAGAGCTTTACAAATGAACAGTTTGTGGCACTGGAGTCATTCCACAGTGGAAATTGGGGCTGTCTACAGGACATGGGAAGTGTATCTGCACCGGTTGTAGCAGGCATGGTCTAGCGAAACAAAACACCATCTTGCCTTGCCGGGGGTCAGGAAACTTGGGAGTTGTCATGAGTCGCTCCTTGCTGTCTTGATCAGGGGTTAATTATGGAAGCATGGGCCATGGGAATTTCAGCAGTTTCTTGGTTGGAGACGAGGAAGAAAGAGGCCATTGACATCGAGCATGGGGAAACAGCTCGTATTTTCAATGATTTGGGATCCCTGAGGCGTGGGTCCCGGCTGTGAATATGCGTTACGTTCTTGATCAACTGTTGCCACGCACTGTCAAACAGCGTAATTCCAAGAAAGAACAAATCAAGGAGACCTAATTCTTATTCAAGGAGGCGTGATGTAGGTTAATTCTGGATCCAAATTAACTCAAACTCATTCACAAATTGTCACATGTGATGTGGACTGTTTTCATTTTAGTTTTACGTGTTCCGCGGGCTAGAACTTCATGAATATTTATTTCATGACGTAGATGGGATCTGATTGGCAAAATAACGTCACGTGGAAATCAGCTGCAGCCAATTACGCTGCGCGCAGGGACTGCCTGTGGTGCGGAAGCACCATCCATCATCGAGCTGGCGGGACGGCCTGGATCGGAGATGCCACCAGACTAGTTCTAGGGCCGGCCAACTCCCCTCGGGCTCAACTCCCCCGTAGCGCTAATTTAGGCAGGCGGGCGAAAGGCTCTCGGCTGCCGAAGGAAAACGGCTAACGGCCCGATACTAGTTTGGCATCCAGGGTAGAACTGCTTGGGACTGGCTGGAGAGTCACAGCAACAAGCTATGATGATGATAACATAATTTTCGAAGAGCAATTGGTTTTTCGTGAATTGATTTGTTGCAAAGTTTAGGACTAGATGGGGTCAGCTACTGGGCCGATACCAGGAATCAGACTGAGTTTAGTCCCTCAAGTGGGTCTTTCAACATGGTCATATGTTTAAAGATAAAACTTTTGGTCCAACACAAAAAATTCTCTCACCTAGAGCTTTCGACCAGTCACTCTGCTCTGCTCTTCCTCAGTAGACTGACCCAGTGAAGCTTGTCACGTGGCTCCTTTGAAGTGTGACATCAACACTGGGTCAACACTGGGTCTACTGAGGAAGACCAGAGTGACTGGTTGAAAGCTCTAGGTGAGAGAATTTTTTGTGTTGGACCAAAAGTTTTAACTTTAAACATGTAACTACCAACACTTTCATAAGTCATATGTTGGCACAATTCATACGGGGGAATTGTCTAATGAGACTCACAAGAACACACCGAGACTGATCCCGTGGGAGAACTCAAAACTTGTCCGCACTTGCTCAGAACTCAGTTTGAATTCATTGTTTTCTCCTGAAAAATGGCTCCTGAAGAGAAGGTGACCATTCCTCACCTTAAAGAAACCATTTCTCACCTTAAAGAAACCATTCCTCACCTTAAAGAAACCATTTCTCACCTTAAAGAAACCATTCCTCACCTTAAAGAAACCATTTCTCACCTTAAAGAAACCATTTCTCACCTTAAAGAAACCATTTCTCACCTTAAAGAAACCATTCCTCACCTTAAAGAAACCATTCCTCACCTTAAAGAAGTACGTCTTCTTAGTTGGTCTCCAAGCCACAGCAGCATCCACGTCATCTGTAGGCAGGCCGAAGTCGGAGATGGGCCGAGGGAAACCTGGTTCCATGTTAGCACCGTCAAACAACCAGTACTGTCCACCTAGAGGGGGGGACATGTTAGCACCGTCAAACAGCCAGTACTGTCCACCTAGAGGGGGGTAGGGGCATGTTAGCACCATCAAACAACCAGTACTGTCCACCTAGAGTGGGGGTAGGGCCATGTTAGCACCATCAAACAACTAGGGGGGCCCGCAAGCCCTTTTCCGTAGAGCGTAATCGGACGTTTAAATTCTACGTAGAGCGTAGATGGACCGCTCTTCGCATTTTGCGCAGAGCGTATTCGCCATTTTAATTCTACGTAGTGCGTTGTAGCCACTTGGAATTTATCATAAAGCGTAATCGAGAGGTTTCCGAATTCAGCGTAGAGCGTTGTCGGGGGTCACCAATGGTGTTACATGTATGTCAGAAGAAGGCACAAGCCTTTGGAAAAATGACTGACTCAAATTGGTACGTGTACAGAATGGTGGTGATCTGTACTAAAATAGCCTCCTTTCCAGGCATTCCAAGATTGTTTTTTGGGGGGGAGGTGGGGGTGGGGCGCTTCTTTTCTGATCAAATGTAGGTTGCATGTATTAGACGCTCTGGCTGCGATGGCATACTAGGATTGGCGGTCCTCCAAAAAATTGACCGATCCCCACAAAAAAACGACCGATCCCGTAATGCCTGCAAATTAGGCTTGTAAAAGAAACTGTACTGTCATGAGTAATTTTAAGCTTAAATGAAACATTGTAATTTCAGAAGTTCATTTTCAGTAGAATTTTTTAGGTTAGGGTTTACGGACTCGTGGTTGACCACTAAAGAAGATGATTTTGTCGTCCTGAGCGCGAGTGTACGCCGTGTCGATCTTGTCCGGCAGCCCTCACCACACAACTGTGTGGCCCAAGGGCTACAAAAGGAGATAGGCACCGCCATATGCGACCATGGAAGGGCTTTGACTTGAACTCACCACTGAAGAAGATGATTTTGTCGTCCTGTGGTCGGGTGTACGCCGCGTCGATTTTGTCAGGCAGCCCACGCCACACCTGCTGGGTGATCAGCAGCTTGGGTTCGGCGCCGTGCTCCCACATGTGCCTACGGAACGTGTAGATTCCCTGGAGTGGGGGGGACACAGGAGGAAGGTGTTTGTTTGTTTGTTTATTTAAATGCAACAGTGCATAACAAGTGGCAACCAGGCAGCAACAAGGCTGGTAGCGGCTACCACTGACACATAAGTGCATAAATACAAGGCATATCAAAATACAATATTACTTAGTACGTACAAATTCAATTCAATATTATACAATAGCAATATACATACAAAGTACATACAAGTTCAATCAATACAGAAGCAATACAATATAAGTACAATACAAATCAATAAAATGATCAAAGTTGAAATGGAGGATTTTTATTTACAATTGGTGTTTGGGTAATCAGGATATGAGGTGGTGTTTGCATTTGTTGATCATGCAGTGGGGGAGAGACATGTTTAATATCAAAATGCCAAATGACCGTAATACACATGTAAAAGTCGAGCTCAAGAGAGAAAAAGTCACAACGAACAAATACAATGCAACTCAAGATTCTAAAACAATGAAATAAGACAAACAAATTTTCCAAGTGCCAAAGTCTGTGGTAATATACAGAATATTTTGGATTGGCAACAGAATCAAACATAAGGTTACCAATAACATGCTGAAGTTACAACGGCAAATCTGAAAGCCAAAACAACTCCAATATGGTACTACAGGCGTAAAGGTTTATTGTATTATTAATTGAATTATATGTTCGTATGTGCTTGTAATATTCTATGTGGGACACAACACCAGCAACAGCTAACCATGTATTGTACCATGGCAATTTCAAAAAATCAGTTTCTTCATCCTCCCTTCCAAACAAATAATGACTGTCAATGACCTGGACCAGACGTCTGTCACCATGGTAACTGGTGCTGTAACAGACAGCCTGTGGTGTTCAGTTACATTATGTAGCAAGTGGTAGGACAGAGATGAAACCGTGGGATTGGAATACAGGGTACATGTATAACAAACATTTTAACATTCAGTTTAACATTTTTTGTATCAAAGTGCAACAGTTTGTAGTGTTATAATGGCCAAGCTCAAGAGTGAAAAAAAATCAGGTCCAGAATCATGACATTCATGGGGATTTCGTTCTTTAAAAATACTATGTACCTCGTGATGGTAGAAGGTTGAAATAAGAAGCACAGTAGACCAAGAGATTGTCACTGTCTAATGTCTATGGTGACATATTTGGATTGGCAAGAGAATCAAATATAATGTTAACATGCTAAAAGGCACAGAAGAGTGTCAAAACAGCTCCAGGATTACCTTGAATACAAACAGTTCTGAGCGGAAGTGCAGGATGGAGTCGAACTCCGAGGTGCAGGGGTCGGGCAGACTGTTGCACCTCGGTAAGGAAGGAGACGACTGCTCGGGTCCGTCTGGAGACACAAGGCAGACGAAGGGAATCATAATTATTGCAGTTATTACAATACGAAGAAGCGCAACCTTCATTGTCACCATGAAGCGGGATGCTGGGCTCAGAAACATCATCACAGCAGAACTCTGCTCACTGATGGGAGACAGGGACCAGTGGAGAACAAGAACCCACTGTTCCCATGTTCAAGGTTCAAGCTTCATTACAATACAAAAGTGTAATGATAAGTATCACAGTAATGTTGACCTTGCCACCTGCAGTGTGATGTGTATGGACCAGGTAGCTGTCACCATGGTAACTGGTGCTGCAGCAGACACCCTGTGGTGTTGGATTACATTAAGTAGAAAGTGGCAGGACAGAGTTGGAGGGGCTGATCACCATCAGTATATAATTATGTTTTACTTAAGACAAGGTAAGCAATTCTGTCTACTGTTTTACCTGTATAACTGTAGAAAAGAATGATAATAAGCCTATCTATGTCATACCTGGGCCGCGATTACATTCGATACGGTGTTCCGGCCAGTGTGATAACTAGCAGTACGGCCCGGGGGTTCTTAACGCGTACGGCCCGGGGCTTCCAATTGTTCCATAGAACGATTCGAATGCGTTTCGCCCTAACCGCTTGCACCGCGTTCGAAAATTCGAATACAAAATTCGGACGCTGGAATTGATGTTGTTGCATTTGTGGGGTTTCGCTCATTTTGCATTGAAAGGCGTGTTTTCTTGGATGGGTCCCAGCCCTCCCGCGGATCGGATCTCCCGACGGCCGAATACACCGTGTTGTATTCTATATGTACACCCTAGATCTCCTCACCGTACAGGTTCTGTATGGCCCTGACATCGTCTGGATGGACGCAGAAGTTGTTCCTGAAGACGGGAAACGGGAACATGATGGTGCTCGGGTCGTCCGTGTGACTCAGCCCGAGCGCGTGCCCGAACTCGTGCACCGCGATCTGGAACAGGTTCACTCCTGCAGTACACAAAATAAAACAATTATACAATTTCAACAAACAAACATCATTGCAAACTTGGTGGATCTTCCAGGCTCAATCTTTAGAAAGACCACAACATTGTCATTGGCCAAACTCGTGCACCGCGATGTGGAACAGGTTCACTCCTGCAGCAAAAATGCCATGAGATTACAACATTCTCTCTGTCGCTCTCACTCTCACTCTGTCTCTCTCCCTCTGTCTCTCACTCTTTCTCACTCTGTCTCTCTCTCCCTCTGTCTCTCGCTCTCTATCTTCCTCTCTGTCTTTCTCTCTCTATCTCCCTCTGGCTCATAATATAACATATTCTACAAATACTACAAGTATGTCAAGTCCAAAGTGAATGAGTGTCAAATCGAATTCTTGCCGCCAACTGTACATATCCTTAGCACTCGTTCCAGACAAACTTTTAAAACTTCAAAGACTTTCAGTCATTTTAATGTAGAACGACAGTAGTGATCTTACTCGTGAGAAATTATAGAATAATTGTTTTACTTATATTGCTATAATAATATGACGATGACGATGGTTTTTATAAATTTAGTATATTACAAGTGTAAGTTGCCCTCTGATATCTACTAGTATTGTATAATCCCAAAAGTTGTAAATATCAGTACAATTCAGTTTTTACTGCAAGTCTGATATGTTCTTTGTTCTTTTCAATAAACCAATCACTACTACTGAGTGCTAAGTTGTGCAAACCTCTGGGTGATCGCAGCGTCCAGTACTCGTCAGCGTCGAAGTGGACGTCCCCGTCATCCCCGTAACCATCCGGCCAGTCCGCTCCTGGCGGCTGAAATGCGTGGGCATACTCTCCCCCTGGGCCTTCAAACTGGTTAGCTGTGGCAGAAGGGAAATCAGTGTTAAAAATATCTACCTACATGTTTAGTTCACTTTCAATCTGTACCTCTGGCTGTAAGGCGTGGGCATAACCATCCGGCCAGTCGAGTCTGGGCGGTTGAAATGCGTGGGCATACTCTCCCCCTGGGCCTTCAAACTGGTTAGCTGTGGTAAAGGGAAATCATTGTTAGAAATACCCACCTGCAGTCTGCATTTTACAGTAACATTTTCAATCTGTACCTCTGGCTGGAAGGCAATTTGGGCATACTTTCCCCCTGGGCCTTCAAACTGGTTAGCTGGGGCAGAAGGGAATATTTGTCACCTCTGAATAGTCTTTTCTCACTATCAGATTCTCCATCGTTTGTCATTGATATCACATACATGTAGATGGCTCTCATTTCTGTACATTTATATGACTATACATTTACGTCTCTGCGTCAATGAATCTACAATGTAGATACTGCCAATAAAAAATAATCATGAGCACTATTTGTGCATATTCTTCACATAATTTTTTTTTCATGTAATCAGCCCGACTAGGCCCAGGTTTGAAATATGACCTAAGGCCACACCAATTTAATTTGTTGGTTCTCGGAATCACCGCTTCAAAAAATCGCAAAATGAAAAAAAAAAAATTCTTGTTTTAATACTAGTAATTAGAAATCAATAACATCAATAATTGATCTTTGATACATAGGCTATAAAACAGCAATGTTTTAGCATGTATAGTCATAGCTTTGTTCTCAATCCCTTTTTCCAGCCTTAGCTTTACCATTTGGGCATGTTTTTTGTTGTTGTTTTTTTCGCCCTGTCGCTTCACATTTTTCATAAAAAAATCCGAGAACCAACAAATTAAATTGGTGTGGCCTTAGCATAAAAGAAAATGTATGGGGTTAAGATTCTAAGTACATAATGCACCTTTCCCATCGCCATGGTTCCCCCGTGCGAACTTGACCATGATGTCAGCATCTCCGCTCCTCCTCTCCACAAACCGGAGCCCCGAGACGTTCGCCCAGACGTTGAGCGCGTCGACCAGCACCTGGTGGACAACCGTGTGGTCCAGGTGAACACTGCTGGGGTAGTTCACTATCCTGTAGGGCAGCAGGGATGAGGATCTTTTATCATATTCAGGGTGTAGTCATATTATCTTAAGTTTCTTTCCTAAAATTTCACCACTCATTTCACCTAGAAAGGAAATGTTAACATTTGCAAAGCAAATGCATAATGTTTACCTTCACATGGTCTAGCCTGACTATCTACTGCTCTGCTTATTCTTACTCAAAACACATTCATATATACTGTTATGGTGACCAGCCCCTCCAACTCTGTCCTGCCACTTTCTACATAATGTAATCCAACACCACAGGGTGTCTGCTACAGCACCAGGTAACATGGTGATAGCTGTCTGGTCCAGGTCTCCCAGAAGGAATGCATATTGTTTTTACTCAGTTTCTTCTTCTTTTCTGTAAACAAAAAGGTCACTGATGATGACCTGGACCAGATGGCTGTCACCATGGTAACTGGAGCAGTGGCAGACACCATCATAATCTTGTTTATGGTTGCCAGTTTTCTCTTTGGAGACTTTAGACAATAATGTTTAGGCTGCCCACCACTAAATCACCTTGCGTTACAACTTGACTCACCTGAAAGACACGTCTTTGTTCTTCCACTTGGTCCCGCTGAGAGACAGCCGCCCTGTCCTGCCGTAGGGGAAGTCAGGCCAGGCAGACTCGGAGTTGGCCATGACTTTGATCATCAGGTTCCGGTCGGGTTCCGGGATTTCCTCCGTCGGATCCGTCAGTATCCGTAACCTCCCCTCCCTCTCTGTTCTGCTGCCCTCCGAGTCCGTCTCCTTTTCCATGAAGTAGCCATAATTGTTCAGCAATGCCTGGAAGGAAATAACGTTTAGAAACATCATATATAACAACTCAAATGGTGTTAACAGGAATTTCTGGCATGGCAAAAAGGTCCTGCAAAATAGGCATGGTTTGTGCTCCTGTAAGCGTTTGAACGTTTGAAGACGTCTACACAAGTAGCCCTAGTTCCACCCTCAGCTGGAAAACATCAAACTTGAAGGTAACTGAACCTCCCCTAACGTGTTACCAACACAGGAACCCAAGGGACGGAAGAGGTTATGTTTATAGGTCATTTTTACCGGCACAAAATAGTACATTGGATCCAGATTCCAGATGCAACAAAAAGGCACGAAAACGGTGCTCAAAATTCAAGCTCTTGTTCCGAATCTACGTACCAGAGTTTGCTGGAAGTCCCAAATCCGTGTCAAGGGCTCCTGGATCTGTCCCCCGTCTGTCGGCAGCACCAGAACCGCAAACAACACAACCAGGGACAGCAGACTCCAGTCCAGCCGGACTACCATAGTCCCGGTCAAGCACAGTTTCTGTGCAAAATATCAGTCCAGGAAATCCATTTTTGGGTCCGGGGTTCCCTTGTCGCTCTCAGGCCCGTGCTGTTGACCTCTTCAGTCTAGCACCCTGACCCGGGTCTGCAAAACGTCGTGCCTAAAAAAATCCACACGTCCTATCGTAAAAATGGCACTGAGTCCAGGCCAAACTCCCAGTTTCTTTACAAATTATCAGTCAAGGAAAACCATAATTTTTTTTTTGGACCCGGGGTTCCCTTAAAGGAGTTCTGAAGTCCAGCCGGAATTGCTATTTTCCTATAGATTGGGTTTCACTGAACACATAATTTACCGAATTTTTACAATATTTTGCTTGCGCGACTTGCGCAGCGCGTGTTTTGTGGCTCTCGGGCCCTGACCTCTTCCTTGAAGTCTAGCAGTCCGTGACCCGGGCCTGCAAAACGTCGGGGCTGCAAATCCACACTTCTGTCGTGAAAATGACAGAGTCCGGGCAAAACTCACAGTTTCTGTGCAAATATTAGTCAAGGAAAACCATTTTAGGGTCCGTTACCTTGTCGCTCTCAGGTCCCTGACCTCTTCCTCAGTCTAGCACCCTGACCCGGGCCTGCAAAACGTCGTGCCTTTGCTTTAGAAAAATCCACACTTGTTAAAAACCGCCCCTGAAAAAGGGGAGCCTTTAGGTCATGATCACCGGTATCCACGTGTACAGAAGAGCTTGATCGGACAGGAACGTTCAAAACCAATTGGAGGAACCCGAAGAACCACACACTCTGAGATCGCACACAACACACACAGACGTTCCGCTACCTCCACACGGGATGTTGGCTTCCCTGCCAAATCACTTGAATGTGTTTATAGAGGGGAGATTCGGATACAAAACAGTGTGGGGCTCAGTACGGAAGGGTCCGTGCACTGGCAAAGGTTTCTCTTAACTTAGCATGAAAGTGTCTTTCTTCTTTAAAGGAGTAAAGGAGGCGGTCTACATAAGAGCTCACAGACCTACCGGGTGACCCTGAACAGAGACGGGGGGCGACACAAGTTATCTGGCACGTATGACCCGCTACTACTGTCACATGTCTCTGACGTCACTTTCCAAGACGGTAGACGGGTCCATTCCGTGAACAAGGTTGATGGAGTCAACCGAAAATTTGGATAAATCCCAATTTTGTAATCTAAGTGTTGAAAGTTAAAGCTTAATCTTTATTTCATAGTTTCTCTTAACTGTTGGGGCTAAATGTAGATACTGAACCCATAGAAACTGCAGTCGGAATATTACTCTACGAGTCCCCAATTCAGTCTGAAGCTTGGCTAGACTCCAAGCTAATTTCTGAACGGTCCCGAAGGAAACCCGGAGAGTGTCTATGTGAAGTGTCAGGTAACCAGGCTCGGGGCATCTTGCGTCACAGCCTGCCAAGTAGTACAGACTTTTCACCACGTGCGCGGCGCCGCGGCAAATATGAACAGTGCAAAGAACCACACCTTCTTGCAGACAATAAGTCTGAATTGACAGGCATTTACAATGAAATAGATTAAAAACGCTAAGGAGTTAAAATAGACAATCAATCAAATTCGGTTTAAAATCAATAAATATAAGTGTGATAAAACTTGTATAGTCTTCTATATATAATACAATTCATGAGGTCACGTCGGTATTTACAGATTGTCAGTTGAAGTGTTTGTTCAGCAAGTTTGTCATGTAAGGTATCGCAGAGTTTTTGTGGCGAGTTGTTCTACAGACGGGAGTGTCCAGTTTGTTAGCACTACGTGTGTTTCTGCCTGATATCTGTTTACGGGATTTCTACTACTTCTTCAGCCTGCAAAGGAGTCTGGTGGAGACTAGGCGGCCGCCAGGAGCGCGGGTTTAGTCAGGCTACCCGTACACTTGTCGGGTCAGGACTCATTACTGATTAACAGTTAATAGGGCCTTCATCGAATGAAAATTCTAAAAAAAACGAGCTACTTTTTCAGTTCTTCCTATTCAGCTCACACACCCCTTTCAAGTTTCAGTTCTTCCCATCAAGTCAAGTCTATAAATGATTTGCAGATCGGTCAGACAATTGATTACAAACCGATGACACTCTCACACTAGCCTTTAGTTGGCATTACCGTAACCGTAGTTAATACTTAAAGCTTTAGATTCATCGCTGACTCCAAGGCTCCAAGGCTAGCAAGAAAGACATAACCCACAAGAAGCCGACAAATGGAAAACACCATAGGATCTAAACACGTTCACAGTTGTTCCGCATAGAATAGTCCGGCTTGTAACGTTACATGTGGGGTCGTGTGGCGTAGCGGCAGAGTGCGCGACTCGGAACTAAGAGCCCCGAGTTCGAGTCCTCACTGATATGCCACCGATCTTGTGCCCTTGGGAAAGGCACTTTACACGACTTTCCTCATTTAGCTCAGGTGTAAATGAGTATTGTCCTGTCATGTATTTGCCCCCTGTGTTGGTGGCGTTGAAAAAACTTGAGTGTGTCTTCACCACGTCTGGTGATTACATGTTGGAATAATAATTAAAAACGTTACATGTTGACGTGACTTTTATACCGAGTAGGAAAGCCGGTCAAGGGTGACAATCATCACATGGTTAATGGTTAAACACACAAGTCTAGATGCGAAGGTTGAACACACCCCGGGTTATTTCACAGGTTTATAGGTGCAGTACATGGTTAATGGTTATACACACAAGTCTAGATGCGAAGGTTGAACACACCCCGGGTTATTTCACAGGTTTATTTTATAGGTTGGTTTATTGCAAGTGAACAACTGGCAGCCCACATGCTGGATTGTATGTTCTTACATACATACATTCATACATACATACATACATACAAACCACGACCAGCACTTTCAATTGTTGACTTATTACTAAGTACTTAATATCTGTGGTAATAAAAATTGGGACGATAAAATCAGTAACAACATTACAGTCGTAGACTTAAATTATACTTTATACATTCTATATAATTTCGCAGATCTGGGATGTGCACCGTTTTAATACCTATGTAATATTTTTATTGACACGCGCTGAACACCCCTTGAAAAAGCGGTCATTAGTCGCCAAGGGAAACCATCAACTACACAAACGGATTAATGATAATGTCCTAGCAGACAGCAAACACATTTTGACATACATGTAGTACCTCGGTAATGACTACCAGAATCCGTAGCTTGGTTGGGTACTTTATTCGACAAAACAACAGAAACAAACTAAGACAGCAGTACAACCAACACAAGAGTACACACACACACACACTAAATTACATATTACATACTATCCTGGCAATGTATTTGATAGCTTCCTCCATTTTCTGTAGTGACTTATTAAATTATTTTGTTTTCGTTCAACATAATGTTTTCTTCAGCTATGTACTTTAAAAAACTGTTGATTTTTTATAAACGTTTGGAACTAACCAGCCATGACCACAGCTGAGGCCTTCGTTGTGAGTAGTGCATAGGGCATAGTTCGGGTCTACGCTTGTAACCAGGTCATGACCGTATCTGACACGTTTGAACTTTTCAACTCGGCAACCCTGATTGTTAAGAGTTTGAACCTAGGTGTGCCGGTTCAAACCGGACCTTGTTTTCACTATGTGTGTTCACTGTTCTTATATTGTACAGTTTTGTATCAAATAAAACAGTTTTATTTAGCGTGCGTGGTTGACATCGACCCTGTACGTTGTATCCACAACCGCACTGAGACACGGTTCTGGATAGTCCACGCGTATCCAGAATCGTACCTGGGACAAATCCACGTACACGGGATACGCGGAGACTATCCAGAACTGTGCCTGATACTAACCCTAACCCATTCAGTCATACACCAAAATAGGCTGTTCTGGATACGATATAGGCTATCCAACTCCATGTTCAGGCACGGTCTACGCGTATCCAGAACGTATCCAGAATAGTGCCTGGGGCAAATCTACGTTCTTGGATACGCGGAGACTATCCAGAGCCGTACCTGATACTAACCCTAACCCAATCAGTCATACACCAAAATAGGCTGTTCTGGATACGATATAGGCTATCCAACTCCATGTTCAGGCACGGTCCGCGCGTATCCAGAACGTATCCAGAACAGTGCCTGGGGCAACTCTACGTTCTTGGATACGCGGAGACTATCCAGAACCGTACCCGATCCTAACCCTAACCCATTCAGGTATAGAACCAGATAGACAAAGTTCTGGGTACGATAGACCCAGTGCTTACGAACGCCCATGACCCGCCAGCACACACACACTGCGGGGAAAGGTGGGCGTTGACTTTGCCTGTCAGTTTACGACTTTTCAAAGAAAGAAAAGAAAAAAAAAAGATGGCCGTCAGTAGTAATCAAACAACGCTTTGACCAAATAAGGCTTGACGATGATCTCACCGCCCGGTGATGTCACCAGACGCGGGCTGTAAAAACGGAGCAATCAGGCGGCGAGGTCAGGCAAACATTTGATCAACCAGCCGGGTTAATATTAACCAACGATTCAAAAGGGCCAATCACCGGGTCCGTCTCGTGGCCGTTTGACCGTTACACGTACCCCCTTTTCCGTGCGTCCTCCTACCTAGAGTCGGCAGTGCGGTTAAGGCGGTTAACTCTGTCTCAGAGTAACTTCGTAGAACTTGTAATAGTATCCAGTAACTTTTCTTTAGAAGTTCAGAAGATGCAGCGTCTCCTTGAGTTGTGGATCCTCGGTCTCCTGGCTGTTACAGGTGAGTCGCGTGCGCTGTTTTCTGTCTGAAAAGACATCCTCCATAAAACCCACGCCTCAGCTAGTCTCAACAGGTGGATGGATTAATCTCTTTTTAACTTCAGCCGTTGTCTGGACTTTTGAAGCCCTCTCTGGCTCATGCGATCTTGCAGAACCTTTTGGTACCTGCCATTTCATCTTCACAAGAAACGAAACCGTCAGGATTGCGCGCTTTTTGCTCAAAATGGTGTAGTTTGATAGCGGGATGACTGAACAGTTGAACTGGGCATGTTCTACCGCCATTTTTACAACCGTGCCGCGCCGCGGTATATTTGCACTGGGGTTCGTGTCATGTTGACTCACAGAACAACTTAGCTCCATCTTTCACAATCAACGGTACTCTCCAAGCAGAGGTTTGGGCTTAATATAGGCGTGTTTTTAGCCTTTTTTTATCAGGCTTTCTTCTTTCTGGCACTGGAATCTTTTTACGCCAACCCTACACGTAAAAAAAAGATTCCAGTGAAGAAAAGAAAGCCCGATAAAAAAGCCTAAAAACACGCCAAACCTCTGCTTGGAGAGTAAACCAACGTCGCAAACCGCGCTCCTTGGTTCGGTGCCTGCACACAAAGGCGGGATGTCTGAACTTTTCCCGTCGACTCAAAAGGCGGCCAGAGACCAGCTGGGCTTTCTCAAGTCAGGTCAGGTGGAGTCAAAGTTGAAAAGAAGTATATTTTGGAGATGAGAAACCTAATGTGGAAACGGTCGTTATTTTCGTACGGAACTGGTTAGAAAGTTTGCTTTAAAGGTACATCTAACAGAGCACGGACAAGAGATCAGCTGGGCTTTCTCAAGTCGGGTCAGGTGGAGTCAGAGTTGAAAAAAAAAAGTAAAATGAGTAGAGCAACCTCTTTATGTGGAAACTATCGTTGTTTTCACCTGCGTATGGAACTGGTTGAATTGCTTTTCATTTCCAAGCAAATCTGGTTGCTACAAGACAACATCAAATTGGCAGGGCGGTATCCAATATGCCAACGCTGACGAAAAAAAGATACCGGCATAAAAATGAAAGCCCGATAAAAAGGCCTAAAAACAGTTTAAAAAATAAACCGAGTAAAGTTTGCTTTAAAGTAAAAATACCTTTAAAAGTAGTCCACTGTATTCTGCTGCTGCAGTAGCTAGGCATCCTGCAGCCTCCCCTACCTTTAAAAGCGCACGAACAAAGCTGTCCTTTAATTACTACTTTTGTGTGTGTTACAGACTTTCTCACCTGTTTCATTTCGACGGTCTCAGAATTTGACAGAAAAACGTTTTGTTTGCAATCTGAAGGAAAGCGATTGACCCTAGTTGATAAAGCTTAAAACTTTTAAAGTTCAGTGAAATTCATCAGTAGCGCAGTGCTGTGACTAAGGAACTAACGGGTTGCATTTTGCAGCGTGTTCATCCTCTGTACAGAAGTGAAACATGTAGAATACATAAAAGTAAAGTCGATATGTAAAAATATATTACATAACCTGAATGCTACACCCTACATTGACCACAAGTTTCAAGTTTTCAAGCTTTATTCATAAAAAATCAGCCTTGCAGTTAGTGCACAAACAAGCTGAATAACACTGATTTTTTTACAATTGTGTAGTAAGTACAGATACAAAATTAACATTACAATACGTATACAGACACACAAACAAACACATTACAAAGTTTTCGAATATGACATGTATAAGCCAGGGAGATGCGGATCTGCCGTTTGAATTGCATCCCGAATAAGATCTTAATAATAATTATTAATTTGTGATCGCGATTCTTATTAATTAATACGTATTTCCTGTCTAATTTTGGAAATCCTGAAGTAGCGTGTTTTTTTTTTGAGCCTCAGAAACCGTTATAGGAATGATTAATCTCTAAACTTTTTTTTGGTGGCAACAAATTCAAGACAGTATCAAATTGGCAAAACTGTATCCAATACGCTAGCCGAATTCGGAAACAAAAATACCAGTACGAAATACCAGTACGAAAAATCGATAAAAACGCCCACAGAACACGTCAAAATAATCCTCTGCTTCGCTTGAAGAGTAGGAAAGGTGATAACGGTTGTCACTTGTTGACAGATCAACATTCAAATCGTACCTGTACCTGACAAACATCTATTTTGTGTTGCTCCGGAGTGTACTCAGCCGTATGGCGGTTAGACCTGCACCTTGCCCGGATCGATTTTGTAATAGTCGGGAGTGAAGTCTACGTTCGGACGTCGTCTCGTGTGGCAACGGTTGTTTCAAACTCTGCTGCAGCGCCCCGTAGTGGGGGGGGGTAGTTAATGTTTTACAGGTAACGTGGGCCCGGTGCTTACACATCGGTAACCCATTAGCCTCTACCAGGCTTCGGGAGGCGGCTGGAAAGTGTAGAAATCGGCCAAATAGAGAGATAAGCATGCCAAGGGAGTTTGTCCGTTGAGTCATTGGGGTGCGGCGAAATGTTCTCTCAACGGGCAAACTCCCTTGGCATGTTATCTCTCTATTTGGCCGATTTCTACTCTTTCCAGCCGCCTCCACAAGCCTGGTAGAGGCTAGTGACCCACTAGACGGCCGGACGGGTCAGACAAGCGTACCCATGAAACTCAGCTATTCTACATTTTGTCCTGGAATGCCCCTACGCATCTCTCTCTTTAACACTATGGGTCGGAATTAGGGCACCCCCCGTTAAACTGGGCCAGAGATTTACAAAGTTAACAAACGACGAACTGTTCACATACATAATGTCATCGTCTAAACACCTGCTGATTGAGAAACTCTGTGAATTTGTGTACGCATGTCTCAAGAGGAGAGAAGAAACTAGTAAGCTATTGTAAGTTTTAGAGTTAGATGAATTATAGTATACAGTAGCTGTTTGTTTTTCTTCTTATACAATTCCCTATGTACTAGTAACTAGTATCTTACAGTATGTTATGTCATCCAATGCATTTAGCCCGGAAGGGCATGAATATGCACTAAACGTCATTGTCATTAATGACAACAAGATAATATCAAAATTTGCAAGACAGTACTCGTATCGAATGGGTAAAACATTAAAGACAGTATCAAATTGGCAAGACAGTATCAAATTGACATGAAAGTATCAAATTGTTCTAAAAGTATGAAATTGGCAAGACAGTATGAAATTGGCAACACTGTATCTCATTGGCAAGAAAGTATCAAATCGGCAGAGCTGTATCCAATACGCCACCGAAAAAAGATACAAAAAGGAAAACCCTAAAACACGTCAACAATAAGTAGAAGCCTTTCAAAACTAATCTCCAAGCAGATCCCTCTTGGTGGCAAAAAGACAGTATCAAATTGGCCAGGCAGTATCCATTAGCCAGAGAAGGTCCGTGGGGATCAGGACAAAAAAAACGGCCATATTTAAAAATGTAACGATCATTCCCCCACAGCCTCTGCTTGGAGAGTATTTGAAAACCTCGGCTTGAAGAGCATCTCTGTACCAGGTACTGGGTTCAAACGGCGCGTAGAATTCGGAGTGAATAGAATGACGTCATACCTGACAAGTCCCCAAGTCAGCTGACGCAACAACAGAAGCTGCATACATCATAAAGCGTGGGGTCAAGAGGTCCTTCATATGAATGTGTAGCCGTTATATTTATAGTTATAGTTTTAGATAAACGAAATTTGTTCTGCCTTCGGTTCAAAGTACATGTATATCTTCTGTTCGCCAAAAAAAACAACTTCAAATTTGCATATCGATCAATACTTCGTACTTATATATAAACCTCCTTTTCTGACAATTCTCCACTGACGAAAGGTAGTGGATGCTACCTGAAACATATGACCGTTTCCAAAAACATATCCAGTTGCTTGAGTAATTGCTTTTTTGGCGTATCTTATCACCCGGATGTCTAACCTTCACCGACGGAACAGACATCATTCAGCATCCAAATGTTGCTGTCAATGGCAATGGGGGCAATGTGAGTACGTCAACTTCATCAATAGTTGGCTAGTACTTGTAAACCTGCTTTTCTGAAAAGTCTCCAGTGCCGTTGGAATAGTATAGTCTCTACCAGACTAACTCCGCTGGCTATATATAGGAGAATAATTGCCAGGGGAGTTTGGCCGCCTTGTAGGTTTGACTGGCCGCACAGGGAAAGAAACTACCTCCCCGCGGCCTTGGCCAATCTTACTCTCTTTTTTTGCCTAATTCGTATTCCCGTAGAATGGCCTGGTGGAGGCTAGGAATAGTATCCCTCTGTTCCCGTTACAAAGTGAACCCGTCCACCTGTTATAAACCACCTGTAGCAATAGGTGACCCATGCGGTCACACCTGTTAGTTATTGTTGGTTCTGCCAACAAAGGAGCGATCAGCTCGCGCCACGAACAAACGCTAACGGCGGACAGTCATCCCTCATGTCGTGTCGTGGCCCCAGCAGGTACCGCACACATGTTTGATGTACAAAATGACTAATAAACTGGTGGACGCACCAACTAAGTATCTCTATTAAATACCAGCCCAGAAAAGAACAAGAAATAGTCATGCCTTTAAGTACCAGAACAAACATCCCTCGTGTCGTGTCGTGGCTCCAGCCGGTACCGCACACACGTTTGATGTACAAAATAACTAATAAACTGGTGGACTCACCGACTAAGTACTGTAATTCCTGATTTTTTTTTCACTGTACTGTTACGTTCACTGTTTTCACCACTTCTGTACCATGAACTTATCATAACAGTTAACAAATAATTCCTGGACTTTCTTTTTCCTGCACCTGTCGCCACTGCGAATATATATAGTTCCGTGAACATGTCCATTTTTCTCAGACCGTGAACTTCTGCTACCGTGAACATAAAGTGAATTACAGTATTTAATACCAGCTCAGAAAAGAGCAATTGCAAGGAATAGTCATGCCTACAAGTACCAGAACAAATTTGCGGACAGTCCTCTCCCATGTCTCCTCGTGGCTCCAACTGATACCGAAATGTGCTAACACACCTGTGGCTAACAAACAAACGGCTAGTCATACCTCGTGCCATGTAGTGTCTGGTACCAAAACCTGCTGCCGTCACCGTTTTGTTGATCTCGTAAATAAATAAATGATACGAAATCGCATGGACAGAGGTTGAAATACCAGGCTTTAGAAGCAGATAGAAAGAGTAGAAATTTGCCACGAACAAACAACTGCTAGTCCTTCCTCTTGTAGTGTCATGTAGTGAGTCATGTAGTGTCTGTAACTGCATGGCACCATCTTGTTTATCTCGGAAATAATACAAAATCGCATGGACACAGGTTAAAAATACCAGGTTTCGGAAGCGACTGGAAAGAGTAGAAATTGGTCAAACAGACATTTAGATAACATGCCAGGGTAGCTGGTTCGCTAGTGCTGAGGTCACATTTCCAAACAAGATATCCATGCCTCCTGGCAGCCGTGGAGGGCTGAATTGTGAGGCTATATATTTATATATTAAGTGTCAGTCTATCAAAAAGTGTACATTACAGTTATGATCATTACATTACACTTTAAAAATTTGCTTGTTGTACATCAAGAATATTTAAGAACAATTACACTCGAAGCTAGCTTACAGAATAATATTACATGTATTACAATAATTGTTGGAAATCAATTATTCTATGTTAGATTAAAAATTCTATTGCAAGTTAGATTGTTTTTAAGACTTGTAGATAAAATCATGGGTGGTAGTGTCCGACCAAAAATGAAAAATTGTCTGGTGGAATGGAAGTGGAATCATTTACGATGGGACCCAGACGGGACCAAACACGCTTGGGTTTATGGTCATGTTTTTATCAGTAGCGGCAGTAGTAGCGTTACAGCACTTGAGGCTTGAGTGAACTTGAGGTTATTCCTTCCGGAATGAAATTCTTTTGAATTTGTCCCGAGTAAGTTTATTGTCAAAAGATATTCAGCCCTTAAACAGTAAATTTTAATAATGATATTCTTCGTCTGTCATCAAACTTCAAGCAATTAGAACTCTTCGGATCTTGTGTGTGTGTGAACATCCGATCGATGAATACACGACATTAACTAGAAACTAACAATTGCAAAGCAAATGTGTAATGTTTACCTTCACATGGTCTAGCCTAACAATAAACTATTGCTCTGTTTCTTCTTACTCAAAAAACATTATCTTAATACATGTCGTGACACAGTGTAACACTGCTGTCTGCTACACCCGTTACCATGGTGACAGACGTCTGGTCCAGGTCATTGACCTTATGTGTTTGGAACAGAATAGACAGAGCAAAAACTGTACGGAAAAGGTAAACATAATTATTGATTTCCTTGTCTGCTACACCCGTTACCATGGTGACAGACGTCTGGTCCGGGTCATTGACCTTATGTGTTTGGAACAGAATAGACAGAGCAAAAACTGTATTCAAAAGGTAAACATAATTAGTAATTTCCTTTCCCTCCTGGCTGTAGCCGTAAAAGCGCAGTCTGGTTCGGTGAGTGGTGGTCCTGATGTGCAGCAGTCCATAGGCCGGACAGTCACGCTAAGCTGTACCTACTCTCTCAGCAAATGTTTAACACTTCTCTAGTTCTTACATTAACTCTTCCTTTCCCTCCTGGCTGTAGCCGTAAGAGCGCAGTCCGCCGGCGGCTCGGTGAATGGTGGTCCTGACGTGCAGCAGTCCATAGGCAGGACCGTCACGCTAAGCTGTACCTACTCTCTGAGCGGGTCCGCCGCCCTGCGTGAGATCAAGTGGTACCGCGTGTCGGACGCCGGCGACAGAGAACCCGTCCTGTTCTACTATCCCGGGGAGGTCGCCTACACGTACGGGCTATACCGTAACAGGTAAGGCACCTTAATATAACGTACGGCTTGTACCGTAACAGGTAAGGCACCTTAATATCACTTGCGAACTGCACACAATACTGTACCTTTAGGCTCCTACCTGAGACGTCGCCAAAACATTTTTTAAAAAACTAGAGAAGTAACATTTGCAAAGCAAATGCATAATGTTTACCTTCGGACATGGTCTGCTCTCTGTTAATTCTTACTCAAAACATTCACATACATGTTCTACTCGTATATGGGGACAGGAGCAGAGCAGACCATGAAATTGCAACACTTATGTATCCCAACAGCAGTCACCGTGGTGAGTCTGGTGACAGACGTCAACAAATCATGTCACTGGTCAGGTCAGAGGTCACTGTTTGGAGAAGAAGAAGAGGAAGAAACTGAGTAAAAACAAAAAATCCATTCCCTGCAGGGCTAGCCTGGTGAACACGGACTCGGCTGCCCAGGAGGCGTCCCTGCGCCTGAGTAACCTGCAGTTCAGCGATAACGGCACGTACGAGTGCCTGGTGGGAGCCGGCGGCGGCGGGCTGCAGCCATGGGAGGGATCCGCCGAGATCAACCTGGTGGCTCTGGGTAAGTCCTGGATTTATAGTTGCAATGGCTCAATAGCTCAATTAGTGCTCACTTTGTAAGTCGTGAGTTCAAACCCCGGCCGGGTCATACCAAAGACTTTAAAAATGGTACACACTTCTTTCTCTGCTTAGCACTCAGCACATATGAGAAAAAGTGTGGGAAGGTCAAACACACAGCACTACCAGCGGACTAGCCCCCTGCTGTAGCGCCTTGCACAACTGTGTGTCGCCCAAGGGCTTCGAAATGGAGATGGGTGCCACCCTACGCTCGGCATAAGAGCACAGGAGACCTTTTCGATTTGTTTAAAGTTGAAACTTAAGATCCAACACAAAGAAGTTCACTCACCTAGAGCTTTCGACCAGTCACTCTGGTATTCTTCAGTAGACTGACCCAGTGAGGCTTGTCCCATGGCTTCTTTGAGAAAATGTGACGTCAACACTGGATCAAAGGTATCTGGAAGACGATGTCGGCCCCCGTCACAGTTGAGTAAAGTGTGATGGGCCCTGACGCCTTCGATTTGCTTAATATGTACTTGAAATGATTACAGCTGTCGCTAGTTGGCCAATCCTTACTGTTCATGCAACTTGTTCATGAGTTTATTAGACCTGCTTATTCACAGCATCATTTTCCGTTTCCTTCCTCCCCATCTGCAGTTGCTCCCAACGACCCTGTCATCACCGACGACTACAACTCGGCCAGCCGGAACCTTACGCTGACGTGCACGGCGTACACAGGTAACCCTGCGGCGTACCTGACGTGGACGCGCGACGGCGCTGCCATCACCACGGACGTGGCCGAGAACATCACCAGCTGGCGCGGTTACCTGGACGCGCAGGTGATTTTAATGATGTTTAAAGTTAAAAGTTTTGTTCCAACACAAAAAAATTCTCTTACCTAGAGCTTTCGACCAGTCACTCTGGTCTTCCTCAGTAGACTGACCCAGTGAGGCTTGTCACGTGGCTTCTTTGAAGTGTGACGTCAACACTGGGTCAATCTACTGAGGAAGACCAGAGTGACTGGTCGAAAGCTCTAGGTAAGAGAATTTTTTGTGTTGGAACAAAACTTTTAAATTTAAACATGTAACTACCAACACAAATAAACTTTCATGATTGTTAACATTGATGTACTGAATGTTACATTTGTTTTTTAAAGGCATCGTGTGTATTGTTATTCTGCCTACATTGTAAATAGTATGCCATTCAGCTTATGGCTGGAATGTACATTTTTAAATGAATTATTCATTCATTCATTCATTCAGTCTCGCATCAGCGTGACCGTCAGCTCGGCGCAGTCCTCCACGTTCCAGTGCACCGCCCGCCACCCCGCCTTCTCCGCGCCGCAGAGGGCCTCCGTTACGCTACGTGAGTACAGCGTAGTCCCAGTAGTGGCCAAATATTGGACACAGAAAACACGGCATATCTCACAGTCTCACAACAAATCTTACAAACCAATTACGTCAACGAACTCTTGCCACGCCAAATTCACTCGCTCTAAAATCTTACACCAAATCTTACAAACCAATTGCACTCACGGGAATTCATTCCGACAGAAAACAGGACCTTTCAAGAGCAATGCTTTTATTTGCACGCGTGAAGCTTTATTCCAATATTGCATCTTACACGCACGCGATCTTAATCTTACACAACATTCATGACAAGCAACGAATAAAAACTCTTTAGTAGTCCATTCATGTACATCATGCAGCAGCCGTGGTGGCTGTTGCAGGGCTTCGGGTGCGTCCAGAACCATGCTTCATCCAAAACGCTCGGTTTTGGATAAAGCATGGTTCCGAGATACGCGTGGACTATCCAGAACTGTGCCTTAGCAACCGGCAACTTTGGTAACCAGGCTTGCATAGAGGATAAAGACTCGGGAGCTAAGTAGACCTGGTAACCAGGCTACAACTGTTACTCAAGCGACTGGATAGATCTTGATTTTCAAAAGCTATCCAGTTGCTTGAGTAACACGGAACTACATTTAACTTTTTTGATACTTATATGCATTTCTCGTGGCAATGGCCAAGTGGGTAGAGCATTTGCATTGCTTTCGGTAGGTTGTGAGTTCGATCCTTGTCGCAGACTTAAAAATGGTCCATACTGCTTTCTCTCCTTAGCACTCAACAGTTGGGAAAGAGTATGGTAGTTTTTAACACACACTACTAGCTGACAGTGGACTAGCCTCCTGCAGAAGTCCTTGCAAAACTGTGCGGCCCAAGCGCTACAGAGAAGCCGGTCCATGCGCGTGGGAAGGAATTTAAGTTTTAACTATAACTGTACTAGTACTTACTTACTTACTTAGGCTCTTCGCCCTTGCCAGGGCATAGGCCACCGATGATGTTCTTCCACTGCATGTACTCGTCTCTGGGCCTTCTTCCCCAGGTCCTGCCAGCTGGTGCTGATGCCCCTCATCTCCTCCTCCGTGTCCCTTCTCCAGCTGTTCTTAGGTCTACCCCTCTTCCTCTTACCCTGTGGATTCCAGGTCAGGGCCTGCTGAGTAATACTAGAGTTGGCCTTCCTCAGCGTGTGTCCTATCCAAGGCCATTTCCTCTTTAGAATCTGTTCTCTGATGGGTTTCTGACCTGCTCTGTCCCACAGCTCCTGGTTGCTGATTCTGTCCCACCACCTTATTTTAACTGTAACTGATGTTAATCTTTATCCCCAGCCCCCCCTCCCCCCCAGCGTGTCGACGATCACGGTGAACCCGGCACAATCTGTAATAACAGTACATCATCAACATTACATCTGCAGGCTAGCAATCTGCAATAACAGTACATCATCAACATTACATCTGCAGGCTGACAATCTGCAATAACAGTACATCATCAACATCAACATTACATCTGCAGGCTGACAATCTGCAATAACAGTACATCATTAACATCAACATTACATCTGCAGGCTGGCAATCTGCAATAACAGTACATCATTAACATCAACATTACATCTGCAGGCTGGCAATCTGCAATAACAGTACAGTACATCATCAACATTACATCTGCAGGCTGGCAATCTGCAATAACAGTACAGTACATCATCAACATTACATCTGCAGGCTGGCAATCTGCAATAACAGTACATCATCAACATTACATCTGCAGGCTGGCAATCTGCAATAACAGTACATCATTAACATCAACATTACATCTGCAGGCTGGCAATCTGCAATAACAGTACATCATCAACATTACATCTGCAGGCTGGCAATCTGCAATAACAGTACATCATCAACATTGCATCTGCAGGCTGGCAATCTGCAATAACTGTACATCATCAACATTACATCTGCAGGCTGGCAATCTGCAATAACAGTACATCATCAACATCAACATTACATCTGCAGGCTGGCAATCTGCAATAACAGTACAGTACATCATTAACATCAACATTACATCTGCAGGCTGGCAATCTGCAATAACAGTACATCATCAACATTACATCTGCAGGCTGGCAATCTGCAATAACTGTAACTGATGTAAATGTCTCTCCCCAGGCTCGCCCAGCGTGTCGACGATCACGGTGAACCCCAGCCCGACGTTGGAGCAGCCTCTGCAGGAGTTGGACGACGTGATCCTGACGTGCACGACGCAGGAGGGGACCGTCCCCGCGCCGACCTACGAGTGGCGTCATGACGGCGGCGCCCTGCCCGCCAGCGCACAGCAGTACCGCAACGAGCTCAAGCTCTTCAGCGCACAGGTTTGTTGTTTATTTACATTTAGACCTCCATTTAGTGACAGTATATACAGGGGTGCCAGAGTATACAGTGCAATTCTTCGGGGTACAGTGCAATTTTACAGGATACAGTTCAATCGCCATGTCGGCCAGCGCATAGCAGTACCGCAACGAGCTCAAGCTCTTCAGCGCACAGGTTTAGTGTTTATCTATTGTTTTTAAAGACCTCCATTTAGTGACAGTATATACAGGGGTGCCAGAGTATGCAGTGCAGTTCTTCGGAGTACAGTGCAATTTTACAGGATACAGTACAATCGCCAGCGCACAGCAGTACCGCAACGAGCTCAAGCTCTTCAGCGCACTGGTTTGTTGTTTAGGCCACACCAATTTAATTTCTTGGTTAACGGATTCGCCCGCTTCATTTTTTTCTGATTTGCAAATAAAAATGAAAATTCAGAATCAACTGCAAAATGCTCATATTTTGCCGTGAACAGTTGAAAACAGTCCTTTTCATCCTACTTGTTACAGTTATTCCATCTTTCAATGCAATGGTATCATTAAAAGTTCAAAATTCATTGTTTAAATTTTGAACCAGCCTGGTGTGTTGACTTCATGGCTCCTATCGTACAATTTTGGGCCATAATTTTTTTTTCGCCCGCCCGCTCCATTATTTTTCCAGAAAAATCCATTAACCAAGAAATTAAGTCGGTGTGGCCTTATCTATTGCTTCAAAGACCTCCATTAGTGACAGTATATACAGGGGTTCGAGAGTATACAGTGCAATTCTCCGGAATACAGTGCAATTTTACGGAACACTGTACAATCGTATCAGTAATACAGTGCACTGTATACTAGTAAAATTGCACTGTATACTAGTAAAATTGCACTGTATACTAGTAAAATTGCACTGTATACTAGTAAAATTGCACTGTATACTAATATGTTTGCACTGTATACCAGTAAAATTGCACTGTATTCCTTAAAATTGCGCAGTATACAGGTAATGAGATACACAAGGAAATTTGTGGAAGGTACACTCAATGCTAGCATTGCCAAGTCACCCATGATAACATGCTGTCCAATGTGGGGTCGTGTGGCGTAGCGGCAGAGTGCTTGACTCGGAACCCAGAGGACCCGGGTTCGAGTCCTGAAATGCCACCGATCTTGTGCCCTTGGGAAAGGCACTTTACATGACTTTCCTCACTTCGCTCAGTAGGTGAAAATGAGTATTGTATTGTCCCCTGTATGGATTGTGGCATTAATATAAGTGTCATCACCCCGTCTTGTGATTACATGTTGGAAATAAAAAAAAACATGCTGTCCATAATTATGCTTAACAGATAGAGGACAGCGGCACCTACACCTGCACGGCCTCCAACACCTTCGGCTCCGACACCGGGGAGACAACCATCGTGATCGGAGGTAGGACATCATTAAAAAGTGAAAGTGATCTCGATCCAGTTTAGCTCATTGAAGAGCTAATCTTCCACTTATCGTGACAGAGAAGACAGACGCTATGTACAGTATTTACAGGTTCATTGTACCGGGGAATTTCCCCTAGCTCTTTTCGACAAGCACATTGAACAGTGGACTGGACCACGGTTAACGTCCCGAAGGACTGCGACCCTAAACAGTAGCGTGCATGTCGGGTGAGCGACATCAGCCGGGATTCGAACTCCCAACCTCTTAGTCCAGAGGCAGGATCGCTAACCACTGGACTACGCACGCTAATTAGGCAACACCAATTTAATTTCTTGGTTGACCGATTCGCCTCTTCATTTTTTTCTGATTTGAAAAAAAGAAAAATGAACAATCAACTCAAAAATGCTCATATTTCGCCCCCCCAACAGTTGAGGAAAGTCCTTTTCTTCCTAGTTGTTACAGTTTTTCCATCTATCAATGCAGTGGTTTGATTAAAAGTTCAAAATTCATTCTTTAAGTATTTAAATATTAACCCAGCCTATTGTGTGGACTCCATGGCTCCTTTTGTTGCATTTTGGGCTATAACAGGATGCCTATCCCTGTTTTCATTTTTGTTTGTTTCGCCCTGTCGCTTCATATTTTTTCTGGAAAAATCCAAGAACCAACAAATTAAATTGGTGTGGCCTTAGAGACAGACTCATGTAATGTAACAGAAAACATGTACATTGTACTAGTACTTAAATTAAGCGGAAGTCTATATTAATCTATATAAGGCCACACCAATTTAATTTCTTGGTTAACGGATTTTTCTAGAAAAATTATGGAGCGGGCGGGCGACAAAAATAAAAACAGGCCTAGGCATCCTATTATGGCCCAAAATGGTATGATAGGACTAGGAGCCATGAAGTCAACACACCAGGCTGGTTCAAGATTTAAACAATGAATTTTGAACTTTTAATGATACTACTACCAGCATACCAAATATCATCATAAAGGCGTTCTGAAGTTATGTTGACTACAAATGTGCAGAAACACACACACACACGTGCCAAAAACAATACCTACAGTTTTCATGGAGGTAATTACCCTTTCCATGTCTTTTCTCTCTTACAGAAAGGACTGATAACATGCCAGAGGCACAGACAGGTGAGCAAGTTACTACATGTACTACTACAGTCACCCTGTATAATATTCATAGTCATTAATGTTTGCTTGTCTCTCAAACTAGAAAAGTAACAATAACGGTCTCGATATCATGAATAATGCCAGCAAAACTTCACAACCTGGAGAAAGTTGGGTGTGAAAGAGCCCTTCTGTTCAGTTACAGGAGATCTAGCCATTGTCCATGGCAATTCTAAACCAGTGCTGGTTACAGTATAAACTGTAGTCTTCCTGTCTCAGAGCTGAACAGTGTAAGCCAATTGTCGATCCGAGTAAAGTCAAAGTAGAAGAAGGTTGCGAGGTTGGAGCCTTGTGTTGTGTGTTTGAGCGGGCGTCTTTGGGTTCACAGGCATGCCTGCTGGCACGGTGGTCGGCATAGTGATCGCAGTTCTAGCTGCCGTTGCCGTGCTCGCTGTGGTTGGATTTGTGTGCTGGCGCCGCCGACAATCAAACGAGCTCAAGATTCCCCCCGACAGGTGAGAGAACGTCACCTTTCTGATTTGCTTGTTCCGTAGGCGCACCCGTGGGGTCAGTTGTCGGCGGGGTGGTGGCGGCACTCGCCTTCCTGGTTCTGGTCGCTATCGTTGCTTTCGCGTGGTGGCGGAGCAAGGAGAGGGGAGATTACCACACCACTGAGCAAAGGTGAGGCTAGCATAGACTCTTGTGCAGCAGTGATAGATGGTCGAGCACTCCGCTCAGCACCAAGAGGTCCCGGGTTCGAATCCCGCCATGCCACCGACGTTGTGCCCTTGGAAAAGGCACTTTACACGACTTTCTTCACTTCACTCAGGTGAAAATGAGTATTGTAATGTAATGTATTGTCCTCTGGGTTGGTGGCGGCATAGAAATAAGTTGAAAAAACTTAAGTGTGCCGTCGCCATACCTTGTTGGAATAAAAAAAACTGGATAGATTTTAAAAGTTTGGAAATTTTCATAATGTTTCCAGTTGCTTGAGTAGAATATGAGAAGATGTGAACAACTGAACGTGGTCGGCCTGATCACTGACAACAACCTAAAGTCATTCAAAGCAAGAGTACACCGGCATCTTTTTTCCACCATCAGGACTTCTGCATGTAACGTCTGTGTCCATAATACCACCATAGTCCATAATATCGCCACCTTGAGAAAAAGTGTGCTTAAAGATATTTTTACTGCAACATACCCTAGATATGTATATTTGAGGTGTGCAGAGTGCATACCAAAAGTAATAGTTGTCAGTAAAAATAATACTTTAAGT